AAACACATGTTAGTATATAAGCGTTTAGATTAGCGGTAGACCAAAAAAAAACACCAGTATCTGAAAGAACACTGACATGCATTGAATTACTTATATCATCTTCAATCGCACTTTACGAAGGGGATAAAAGACAAGGAGTGCACTTTTCGGCTCCAAGAACAAAGGACTGAGAAGCCATACCGCATGTACTTTGCGTAATTACCTCCTTTATACGCCGCGGATGTTCATGTACCGTTTATGTTTGCTTGTTGAACGTCTGAATGGAAGGGTATGTTTGAAAAGGGCCGAGGGGGGAGCGAGGAGGGACTGGAGGGGGGAGAGGGGAGGAGAAGGGCAGAGGAGGAGTGACTATAGGGGGGGAGAGGGGAGGGGAAGGACAGAGTGAAAGGGACAGAAGGGAGGAAGAGGGGAGGGGGAGGGGAAGGGCAGAGTAGGAGGGACTGAAGGGGGGAAGAGGGGAGGGGAAGGGCAGAGGAGGAGGGGTTGGAGGGGGGAAGAGAGGAAGGGGGAAGGGGAAGGTCAGAGGGGGAGAGGGGAAGAGGGGAGGGGAAGGGCAGAGGGTTAGGAAGAAGAGCATAGGGGGGGGGGGCAAAGGGTGGGCGGGGTAAGAAGAGGGAGAGGCAATAAAAAGTCAGAAAATTTAAACAATGATTTCATACATCGTCATGTGGTATTTTCCTTATAGATATATGCTTATCTGTTGATCTCACTATTATTTATTGTAATAGAATAACGTTCTAGGCTCGTATCCCCTGTGCTATTCAGCATTATATGCAAGGATTCTAAAAGGATAAAGAGTTCGCTCCTCGGCCGAGATCCTGAGTGACACCAATATCCACTCCCAGCCTCGCCCTCTAGTTGCAAAGAGTGTGCCTTCCCCTTCTCCTCTCTTCTTCCTCCTTTTCTCCTCCTTCTCTTTTCCTCCTTCTACTTTTCTACTTTCCCCCTTCTCCTCTCTTCCTTATTTTCTTGTTCCCCTTCTCCTCGTTTTCTCCTTCTCCTTCTTTTTCCCTTCTCCTCTCTTCCTCCTTTTCATTTTTCCCTTCTCGTCTCTTCCTCCTTCTTTTTCCCCTTCTCCTCTCTTCTTCAGCACTGTTGCTATTCCCTTTCTTCCTCATTTTCAACAATGCCTGTCCCCTTTCCCTTCTGCTTTTCGTATAATTTCCTTCCTTGGACCTACCTTTCCTCTCTCATTAACACCCTTATTCCCCATTCCCCTCTCCTTAACGCCTTCCTTTTCCCTTCTCTCTTATTAACACCTGCCTCCATTCCCCTTTCCTTTTCCTCTCATTAACTCTTCCTCCCCTTTCCTCTTTCTTCCTCCTCCTTAACACTGCCTTCTCTGCATCGCCCCTTATTCCTCTCCTTTCCTTCTCTTCTCCATTATTGCCCTCTTTTCTTCCCCTCAGTTCTACCTCTTCTTCCATTCTTTCTCCTCAGGATCGCCCCCCCCCCCCCATTTCCTCTTTTTTCCCAATCCCCAATAATACCCCCTTTTCAACCCCCCTCAACTCAGCACCACTTCCATTTCCCTTTCTCCCCCGCTCCCCAACACCCTCTCCCCTTTCCCCCTCTCCCCTCAGCACTGCCTCTCTCTCTTCCCCCTCTCTCTCCAGCACTGCCTCCCCCTCTCCCCTCTCTCTCCAGCATTGCCCCCTTCCCTTCCTCTCCCCAACATGCCCCCCGAACCCCGGCATTGGAAGTCGATGGCTGCTTCTCATCACGTGTTATGGCACTCTTGTCCATCCACACGTTGATATCCACACCCTGCCTTCGCTCTCGTACTTACATTAGATATATATTGTTTGTATATCTTGTGTAGATACGTGGAAATGTGCTTTGATTTATAGTATGGAAGAATTTCATAGTCTTACGCCCGTCTCTGTTTTATCTATTTTTCTTTCCTTTCATGTTTTTGGAAACGTCTTCTAAGTAGGTACTTTCTGCGTGGTTTTAAACTCGTTTAAATGTTTATTAAACCCGAAAACTTTGAGAATGGCAGGAAGATGATAATGTTTATACGGTTTTCAATTTCAACGGGTCTTCAACTCTTAGCGTGTTTGTATTTATTCTTCAAAATAATCGTAATTTCCTGTAGATTGACCCTGGCTCTAAAATTAAGAAGAAAATTCCTTGAAGAACCTATATATTTTTTTTACAGTCGGTAAATATATTTATCACTCCGCCCCGCTCAAGTAACAAATCAAATTTAAAACGCATTTTCCGTCACGCATGAATGACCTCATGCTGAAGATTAATGAATGATAATTTTGTAATCGGTTAGATGTAATTAGTCAGGGAATATATGAGTCAAAGTTTGTTATTTTCGTATAATTTGAAGTATTGATTTACTGATTTAAAAAAGAAGAAGAAAAAAATGTCGATTCCGGTTGTATTATGGGTTTCGAAAAGTGACGAAACACAGCGGAATTTTTCCTCCACGAGATTAGCCATTCTCACATGGTTGCAAAGCCTTAATTTTCTTTCGGTTTTCATTCAGTAAGTGTGTTGTTATTTGTCATGAGAAGGTATACTTATTAGCGAAAAAATGCTTCGAGATTTTTTGTGATTTGATATTGTTATCTAATACTGTCTCTTTATGCCTTGTAAACAAGCGAACTTTTGCTTAATGTTATAAGCTTATGGTCATTATTATTTACAGCTATAATTATATTAAATTCTATTTTGTCATACTAAATGTAAGCAAGATAGAACATGAATATAAGCCTTACTACTAATATAGATTTAAACAATTTATTTTGATGAACATTAACAAATGATTTAAGAATTAGAGAATAGTCCAGTTATAATGTTCGAATATAAACAAACCCCTGTCACCTGTCGTGCACCACCCATAATAGGACGAGAGGTTTTTGCCTGTGCTTTAAGATTGTGTATTGGATAAAGACCTTGCGGAATCATAACTTTGATTGTAGTACATAAATCCAGCTTGTAATATAGCCGGTGCCTTGTGTATATTTTTTTATTCTCTCTCTCTCTCTCTCTCTCTCTCTCTCTCTCTCTCTCTCTCTCTCTCTCTCTCTCTCTCTCTCTCTCTCTCTCTCTCTCTCTCACACACACACACACACGCACGCACACGCACACACACACACACACACACACACACACACACACACACACACACACACACACACACACACACACACACACACACACACACACACACACACACACTCATACTCAAAGTGATTTCCTTTCCCTATTTATCATCCATCCGTCACCCTTAGGGTCACAGTCCACCTCCCGTTATTGATAAACGAAAAGACCTGTTCAGATTCCTAGGAGGAGGCCCTTCGATCCTACTGTCGTGAAGGAGATTGAATGCCTAACTGTGTGTTGTTCGAGGTAGTACACTTCCCTTCAATTTTCACATTCATAGAGTTTAGTGGAGATGGTGGAGGAGGAGGAGGAGGAGGAGGAGGAGGAGGAGGAGGAGGAGGAGGAGGAGGAGGAGGAGGAGGAGGAGGAGGAGGAGGAGGAGGAGGAGGAGGGGTTGGAGGTGGAGATGGAGGTGGAGTTGGAGGTGGAGGAAAACGACGACGACGACGAGAAATAGTAGTAATAGTAACAATAATAGTAGTAGGCCAAAAGGAAGAGGAGGAGGAGGAGGAGGAGGAGAAAAAGAAGAAGAAAAAAAAGAAGGGAGGAGGAGGTGGAGGAGGAGGGAAGGACCGGTTGAACGAATCCATTGGGCGAATCTAGTTTTCAAAATGGTTCGAATCTGTTGGTACTGTGTGTGTATTAATGAAATATCGAATTCGTATGAACTGATAATCTATTCGCGTTTTGAGGATTACCATTTTCTGGCCGTATCTCCATGTAGGGAAACTTTTATGGGCCTTTGTCCTCCCACGCCTGGTGCAAGACCCCTACTCTTATCGGCAAGCCATCATTTTTAATGAGTCGATACGCAGAAGTAGTAAAAACTGATGTTGAATGTAGCGTAATGTTGCGGAATTACTGTCTTACTTTATTTAATAAGTTAAAAGCCGTAATTACTGTTAGTTAAAATTCCAAACTTGAGATGGATATTTCCGTGGGCATTCTAAGAGGGGAGGAATAATGGTTATGTAATATGCTGATTAGTCTGTTATCATGTTGCGTGGATGTTGATATATCGGTGCACTTTATCCAGGCTATCATATACCCACACACAGCCACACTGTCCAGATATGAACCCATACACATGCAGTATACGCACGCGTTTTCTTTTGTTCCTCCGCTCTCCGGCCCGGCAGCTACGAAAGAAAACGAGAGCCTTTAGCGTTCGGGTTAGGGCAACTCCGCCATGGAGATCTGCTCGTATGGGAACCCGTAAACAGTCAGGGATCAGCGGGGGGCATCTCTCCCCAAGTGTTGTTCTTTTGGAGTCATTAGGTGGCGCTGGTCTTGCCTCTACGGCTGTTCTTCCGCTCCCTATTCTTCTCCCACGACTTGCCTCCTCCCCATCTTTCTGATGTATCTTTTCACCTCCTCTATCTCTCCCCTATTTCTCGTCCCCTATCTATTTGCTCCCCTCTCCCATCTCTCTCCCACTTTTCCCAACCTTCCCCATCCCTCTTCTGTATCATTTCACCTTCCCATCTTTCCCCCACTTCTCTTCACCTCCCCCATCCCTGTTCTATATCTAGTCCCTTCCCCCTCCCCCTCCCTACATCTATCCTCCCCTCATTCTCTCTCCGCTAATTTTCTTCCCCCAACCTCCTTCCTTCGCCCCCCTCCCCCCCCTCCGTCGGTGACCCTCTCATACATATTCTGTCGGGATATTCTCCTTCCTCCCGAGGAAGCTGTGCTTGGCGCTGTGGCTTTGTACAATGGCCATTCGCGGGATTAATGCTTGTGTGTTAGTAAGGAGGAGGCATCCTCGCTGTATTTGTTTATGTAGATGTGTTTTCATATATGTATATATATATATATATATATATATATATATATATATATATATATATATATATATATATATATATATGTATATATATATATATATATATATATATATATATATATATATATATATATATATATATATATATATGTATGTATATATTTCAATATATGTATACATATATACGTATACATACATATATATATATATATATATATATATATATATATATATATATATATATATATATATATATATATATATATATATATTTGTGTATATAAATGCATGTGTGTATGTATTTTTAATCTAAATATTTATATAGGGATATATGCGTATGTGAGTGTATGTCCGCCTGTATACGTGTGTGTGCTCGGCTGTCCGCGCGCGTGCCTTAGGCTCGGCCGCAAATTTCCTCGTCGGCCTCGCAGGGAAGGCCGCCCGACGCGATAGGTAAGAGTCATGATAGCTTTGTGATTGGGTTTCGTCGCCGCAATTGCTTTGTCTGGGGGCGGAGGCGAGGACGCGGTCGTTTGTCCCTTTCCATTATGGCGGCGGCGCAGGTGCATATATTTTCTTCGGATCTGGAGATGGGAATGCTTTGCACTTTAGTTTGTGTTTGTGTTTGTGTGTGTGTGTGAGTGCGTGTTTGTGTGTTTCCCTCCCTCCCTCTGTCTCCCTCCCTTTCCTTCCCTATCTTCTTCTCTTTCCTCTCCCCTTCCCTTCCCTCCCTCTCTCCCTCTATCCTTCCCTCCCTCCCTCTATCCCTCCCTCCCTCTTTACTTCCCTCTCCCTCTCCCTCTCTTTCTCCCTTTCCCTCTCCCTCTCCCTCACCCACTTCCTCTTCCCCCCTCCTTCCCGCCCTCTCCCTCTCCCAATTCCTCTCTTTATCTATCTTTCTATCTATCTAATGTTCAACGCAAGATGGACGAACCGCACAACGCCCAGGCCGCTGAACACCTGGTGCGGATTCTCGCTTGATTTCTTCTGATTCCTTTTTCTCCTCTTCTTCGCTCGTCTTTCTTTCTCTTTAATTCTTCGTCGTATATTTTTATTTAGTGTATATACGTTATGCTTCTTCCTTCCTTATTTTCTTCTTCTTCTTCTTCTTCTTCTTCTTCTTCTTCTTTCCCTCCTCACCTTCTCTTCGTCATCCTCTTTCACACACCCCCAGTTTTCCCTCCCTCACCCTCCTCTTCTTCCTCCTTGGTGGCGAAGGCTCCCCACCAAAAAAAAATGGAGTGAAGGAGGCGCCAAAAATAGAGGATCGGAGGAGGCCAAAAATGATGAAATAGCGGAGAGCCCAAAATTGGGGTGAAGCCAGGGTAGGGAGTGGGTGGAGTGGGTGGAGAAGGTGGAGAGGGTGGAGTGGGTGCTTGACGTACGGCCTCCATCGCGTCTTCTTGTGAGACAAAGGGAAAACGCACTTAATGGCAGAAGGTCACAAGCCTCAAAGCGAGTTCCTGGCCGATTCTTTTTGGGATCTGCTTGTCAATGGGCGGACTTTGGCTCTCTGTTTTCATGGCGGGGAATCGTGGGTTTTTCTGTTTTTTTTTTTTATGTGATTTTGTTCTGTTGATTTGTTGGCTTCTATCTTTTTGTTTTCTGTTTTTTTTTATGTGGTTGATTTATTTTTTTATGATTTTTTTTTCTGTTGATGTATTTGTTTTCTTTCTGTTATTTTTTTACTGTGTAATCTGCAAGTTATGTGTTCTCGTTTTCTGTTTTTTTTATTTGCTTTTACTTTCGCTCTGTTAGTTGATTTGTAGGTTTTGTGTACTCGTTTCTGTTGTTGTTTGTTTGTTTGGCTTTTCACTCTGTGATTAATGCTGTTTGTTGATTTGTATTTCTGTCTGTTTTTATGCTGTTTTTGTCGCTATTTTCTTATTGTTTCTTTCTTCTTCCTTGCCTGTGTTGATTTAATTTTATTTCTTCGCTTGTCGGAGGCAAATTGTTGAACACTTTTTTAACATTCAGTATATTGTTAAACGTAAAATCTCTCTCTCTCTCTCTCTCTCTCTCTCTCTCTCTCTCTCTCTCTCTCTCTCTCTCTCTCTCTCTCTCTCTCTCTCTCTCTCTCTCTTCTTTTCTTTTCTGTTCTTTTTTAAACAAAGACACTCAGTCTTTGTTAACACTCCTCAGAAAATCTCTTCTCGCGCCAACAGATTCGCGAATGGACCGTTTTCCGCTACCCTCTCGGGACCCGTCAGTACCGTGGCGTTGCGGGTTCTTGGGAAACCGCAGCACACGACATTGCCTTGGGATATTGAGAAGAACATTGCTTTAATATATTGTGAAGTAGCAGTGAAGTAGGGAGAGGGGGAGGGGGGAGTGGGAGGAAGAGGGTGGGAGGGAGAGGGTGAGAATGAATGAAGGTAAGAATGAATAAGGGAAAAAAAGAAAGAAAGTAAGTAAGGAAGGAAGGAAGGGAGAAAGAAATAAAGAAAGGAAGGAGAGAGGGAGAGAAGTCAGTGTTAGAGTTCGGCTTCTTGTTTGTTTTCCGTTTTATCATCTCGAACTTATTAAATATTTTTCTAAACAATTTATTGGATAGTTTGGTCATTGTTTATAGTGTTGTTAATTTCATTATTTTCATTTTTATCAATATTATTGCTAATTTTTTTATGTTATTATTTTTAATATAATTACTTTCGTTCTTACTTTATCTATTTACACATTCGTTTATCCATTTTCGCTGGAGACAGATCTCCGGAAACTGAATGGAGTCTGAAAGCGTATTCTTAGAGCGCGCCGATGCATCCGCGGGGACACGGCGGGGGGGGGGGGTCCGTGCGGTGAGAAGGGATGGGCGGATGGGTACATATATGTATATTCTTGCTCATACGTGCATGTAAGCACATACACGCACATGAATACGTATACGCGCACATATACGTACACGCATCCACACGGACACTTACACGCACATGCAAGTAGATAAGACTGAAATCCGGCAAACAAGCATCATTATTCATTGCAAATAACAATCAATGTACATCAGAACTAGTAAATAGATTAGTTCAGATTAAGATGCTGTCAAAACATATGTCGTTTGATTAACACTGATTCTCATTAATTCGTCACCCGATAAAACAAACACGTTTATCATTACTTATTCAGGATTGTCAGACAGACAATCAGACAGACTTGATTGATTATATAAGAAAATGGGAGATTCATTTCGTTTTATCACGTGGCGTGCAAGTGCACGCACAAATCGCCCGCATGTGTGTGTTTGCCTTCATGCACACTCACATCGCTTGCGCGCGTGGATTTGCATATATTGGGTAAGTCAGTCTTAGATACGGAAGAGGGTGAGTCTGTCGTTGATATGATGGTGAGTTGAGAACAACCAACAACTACTCCCTAGTTATAATGATATGCGACAGGCATAAACATGGGGCTAATTAATACTGGGAGGGCATCCAGCGCTTTACCTGTGCCTTGGATAGGGCTCAGGGAGTGATGACCCCTGTTCTATTATAGTCAGTAAAGTTCTTAAATGAGACTATTCTCCCATGACAAATAATATTACGACTATGTCCCTGTGAGAAATGAGCGAATTCAGGCCAAACCTATGTCTCTAAATGTTGCTACTTGGAATGTACAAACACACTGAAGCACTGATGTACCTGAGCTATTTGCCAAAACCCTTGTCGAACGAAAAGTGGATATTGCCTGCTTGACGGAAACTCGTACCCCAGACAATGACTCTCAAATGATCACTGTACCTGAACTCGACTCTTCCACCTACCCTAAATCCTTTAGACTTTATTTCCCAGGCTCCACTGACAACTGCCTGGTGCGGGCATTTGTGTGGCCTCAAAGCTCATAAGCAGGGTTCTAGACTGGAAGCCAATCTCAGAGAATCGCAAGTCTCCAAATGGGTTCCCCAACTAATGCTAATGAAACTACCGACAAGGATGAATTCTACGACCTAGTTTACCACTGCCTGAAAAGTATCCTGAGCACAGACTATCTGGTCCTTGCTGGAGACATGAACATCACAGTTGGCAGCCCACAGCCTACAGAATACATGGCATTTGGGCCACTCTGCACTGACAGGACTCAAAATGAAAATGGCATACGTTTTGTTTCCCTCCTTATACAAAACCTGGTCTTTGCAATTAACACAAAGTTCGGACACAAGAAATGCCCCCTGTTAACCTGGGAATCTAATGATGGGAGAACCAAGAAGCAAATTGACTTAATCTGTGTTCGGAGATACTGGAAAAGCTCCACCTCAAACTTTTGCCCACACCGCTATCTGACAGTGGCATTCTTTGTGTATATTTCCGGTCTCGAAACCTTTCCACAGAGCCAATCAAGCTGAACGACTTGCCCCTGGAAGAGATGAACTCTTTCACCTACCTGGGCAG